GGAAAAGCACAGGCCACAGATCCTATCGTCACTTGTGTCTCTTTTTCCCAGGCACGCCTTCAAACTTCACTAAATAAACCTCTAATTTGAGTGATATCTGTCTCCGACACCTTTTAGGTTTATAATACCTTAATTTAAAAATACTTTATTGATAAAAAATGCTAATGAGCCTTCAGCAAGTCATAATCTTTTGGCTGGTAGAGGGTCTTAACTCCATGCTGACGGCTGCTGACTCGTTAGTGAGGTGGCTGCAGAGAGCTGGGGTTATTGCGGCAATTTCTTAAAATAAAACAGCAATTTTTTAAAATAAAACAGCAAAGTTTGCAACATCAAGTGATTCTTCCCTTCATTAAAAGTTTCTCTACAGCATGTGATGCTGTCTAGCCGCATTTTTTTTAACTTTTAAGAGGTACATGTGCAGGTTTGTTAGACAAGTAAACTTGCGTCATGGTGGTTTGTTGTAAAAATTATTTTGCCACACAGGTTTGTTTTTGTTTTGTTTTATTTTTGTCAGATGGAGTTTCACTTTTGTTGCCCGGGCTGGAGTGCAAAGGAGCGATCTCGGCTCACTGCAACCTCCACCTCCTAGGTTCAAGTGATTCTCCTGCCTCAGCCTCCCAAGTAGCTGAGATTACAGGCATGCACCACCACATCTGGCTAATTTTGTATTTTTAGTAGAGATGGGGTTTCTCCATGTGGGTCAGGTTGGTCTCGAACTCCCAACTTCAGGTGATCTGCCCACCTTGGTCTCCCAAAGTGCTGGGATTACAGGCATGAGCCACTGTGCCTGGCTTTGTCACACAGGTATTAAGACTAGTACCTATTAGTTAGTTTTCCTGATCCTCTCCATCCCCCCACTCTCCACCCTTTGAGAAGCCCCAGTGTATGTTGTTCCCCTCTACGTGCCAATGTGTTTAACAGCATTTTACCCAGAGTAGAACTGCTTTCAAATTTGGAGTGAGTTCTCTCAAACCCTGCTGCTGCTTTATCAACCACGTTGTGTTATATTCTAAATCTTTTGTTATCATTTCAACAATATTCACAGCACCTTCAACAGGAGGAGATTCCATCTCAGGAAACCACTTTCTTTGCCCATCCAAAACAAGCAGCTCCTCAACTGTTCAAGTTTTGCAGCAGTTCAGTCACATCTCCAGACTCCAGTTTAATTCTAGTTCTCATGCTGTTTCCACCACAACTGCAGTGACTTCCTCCACTGAAGTCTTGAACCCCTCCAAGTCACCTGTGACAGCTGGAAGTAATTTCTTCCAAACGATATTTTAACCTCCTCCCACAAATCACAAATATTCTACAGTGGTGAATTCTTTCTAGATGTTTTTCAGTGTACTTTGCCCAAATCCATCAGAAGAATCCCCATCTGTGGCAATGATGATAGCCTTATGAAATGCATTTCTTAAATAATAAGACTTGAAAGTCAAAATTTCAACTTGACCCATGGGCTGCAGAATGCGTGTTATGCTAGCAGGCATCAACACAAACATTCACCTCCTTGTATATCCCCATCAGAGCTCCTGGGTGACTACTTGCATTGTCAGTAAGCAGTCATATTTTGAAATGAATCTTTTCTTTTTGAGCAGCAGGTCTCCATAGTGGGCTTGAAGTACTTGGTAAACCACACTATATAAACGGATGTGCCGTCATCCAGGCTTTGTTGCACCATCAATACAGCACACACAGAGTAGATCTAGCATAATTCTTTTTTGTTTGTTTGTTTTTGTTTTTGTTTTTTTTTGAGACGGAGTTTCACTCTTGTTACCCAGGCTGGAGTGCAATGGCGTGATCTCGGCTCACCGCAACTTCCACCTCCTGGGTTCAGGCAATTCTCCTGCCTCAACCTCCTGAGTAGCTGGGATTACAGGCACCCACCAGTAGGCCCAGC